ACATTCACTCGATTTCTCATGTAACGATTTTCTTATTTTGTTGTACCTAATTAAAAACCAAAAAACCGTAAATATTTGAAATTTACACTAAATTTTTTTTTATCATTTCCTAAGCTCTATTTTTGATATTTTTAAAACCTTGTAAAATATTTCATGTTTTGAACTGTTTATTGACATTTTCAGTTTTCAGTTTTTTTTTTCTGTAAATGCCATTACAATTTTATTCATTGGGTAAAAAAAGCTTGAAAATTTAATACAAGGTTCCTGGTGTATTGTTACAACAGCAGTTGAAAAATATTAAGATATATCTGTAAGATTATTTTTAAAAACATTTAAAATTCACATTTTGACAAAATTTATCATAATTCAGCCATAACAGTGACTAATCTAGGCACCTACAACTGTTCTTCTGTACAGCAGAGCTTTACCCAATTTTGAATTTCATTTGCACTTACCTATAGGTACGAGATAGATATAACCAAATAAATAAATATAATAATTTGCAATTTTAATCATTTATTATTGATTGTATCTTTATTCTATATATATGATCGTAATGAGCGGAATTTGGATGATAAGAGTTGTAAAAAACGACGAGTGACGGTTTATTTTTTACTCGGTTGGTTCATTCGATGTACGTAGCAAGGACGTTGTAGGAATGTTGTAGGAACGTTGCAGAGACGCTGTAAAATAACGACGGAGTTAAATTACCAAACGAATGTAATAGGATCATATACGGTGATCGTGATGTTCGCCGCTGCCGCCGTCGCAAGCACTGGCAACCGATGCCGCAGCCGCAAAAACCGAAGAACAGTAACGACTAGCGAGTGCGACCCTGGTACGTACTCCGAGCAAGTGAACCCGTTTCGGTTAAACTCCGATAATTAATTTCAGTTTTAATAAACTTCCCCGCTGAACGAGTGGCTACGACGAATGCCGGCGTCACAAACACTGATGCCGCCAGAAACGATGAACTTACCGACTATCACGAGCGACCCTGGTACCGGTATCCAGTAAATGTGAATCCGCGACAAGCATTACAAAAAATCGAAATAGTAATTATGTCGGGGGCCGAACAAATGTGCGTTGGTGATTCCGCCTACTAACTACGAGTAACGTTCAAATACGCTTTTTTAAAGACAAATAATTTCAGTACGAACATTTGAATTTCGCTCGCAGTTGATGGGTGACCGTTACCTACGATACGATGTCAGGTATTAATAAGTCGGCGGCTGACTAAAATATTTATTATTTAATTATTTAAGTATTACAAAAAATCGAAATAGTAGTTGGTAATATTAGTAATAGTAATGTAGGCTGGCGGTTAGTCGGACAGAAAATCGTTTTTTTTTATTAAATTATTATTGGATTCAAATACATCCATTACAACGACTTGCCCTATAGCAGAGCTGTGCCCACTTCTCCACTTGTCTATTATCGTGTATATTTGAATATTTTTATGCTGTTTACCCTGTTTTTTTTTTTGTATTTTTACAAAATTGTTCTGAACGTTACTGGGAATTTTTGCATTTGACACGCAACTGGATCTTCGAAAAACAAATATTATGCGTATAAAAATATGTGTAAATATATTTTGTAGATTTTCATAGGCAAGTATGCAATGTATAAATTAACAAATCATAGGTTATATTACAATATACTAATTATTTTATATTATTTCAAACAATAATGTCAAAGTCGGCTTTCGAAAAATTTGATTTTGGTTTTTAGTGTAACTCTAAAAAAAATAACCATTTATACATGTAATTTTCACTGAATATTTGTGTTGGCATTTTCTATACACCATACAATATTTTAATATTTTGACTCATTTTGAACTATTTATAGGCATACGCAATTTTCGAATATTATTAGTTTTTTTTCTGATTAATGCCTACAAAAAAAAAGTTAGTTCTGTCAAAAAACTTAAAAATACAATACAAGGTTCTTCATAAGTTGTTGTTAGCTTAAACTAAAAAAAGAAGTTAAGTGTTAGCCCTCAATAATTTTATGAACGTCCGAATTTAAAATTTTGACAACATTGGATATTCACTTGATTTTTCATGTAGCAATTTTCTTAATTTATTGTAATTCAAAAACGAATAACTGTAGATACTTGAAATTTACACAATATGTTAATTTTATAAATTCATGTACTTGATAATATTTTCAAAATATTTTGACTCATTTTGAGCTGTTTACGGACATCTTCAATTTTTAAATATTTTGGTTTTTTTTTTCTATAAATGTCATTAAAATTGTATATGTTGGATCAAAAATCTTGAAATTTAATACATGGCTCTTGATATATTGTTGCAATGGCAATTGAAAAGTATTAAAAATACATAGGCAAGATTTTTTTTTATAAGTTGGAAGTTCAAATGTTAACAATATTTATCAAATTGCAAATTGAAAATGATTTTGTAGTTAAAAATGTATAACATTTTCAATTTTTATAGCTCAGGATTGAAAATTTTAAACAAGGTTCCACTTAAGCAGTTTTTTCAGTAGCTAAAAAATCTAAAAAATACGATTATATACGGTTATTTTTTACAGACATATAGTTCAAATTTGGACATGTTACATATTAATAACGTTAGTCATTTTCTTATAATTCGGTTCCAAAACAGCCCAATTTTGTATAGGTATATTTAATATTTTTCCATCATAACTAATAATTTAAGAATAATATTATAATATTAATTCAACTAACCGGCTACCGTATCAATAACAACCGTCTCCGCTCAGGATCGTTTTTCGTAAACAATGATATTATATCATATTGAATTCAAATTGAATACAATTCACTAACCATCTTTCTTGTATTTTAATTTTAAAATTCTAATAAATAATAGTTTGATCATTTTAAAATACTCTTAAGTCATAAGTTATTTGTTTTGTGACGTGGAAAGAAGGTCTTCCAAGTACAAAAGTATGCTTCAAGATAATCGTAGAAGTTATTAATTCGAAAACTTAAGATGACGCTACACCCGCACGTGTTGCCTCCGTCTTACAAACGTACAACATATCAAAAACTGTTTTGCGCAAAATAAAACCACTCAAACTGCAGTCAAAGCTAAGCTACCAAATTTTCACACTATAAACAAGAGAACATTTAATGTGCAACATCGTTTTTATTTTTTCGATATCACAAATACAAGAAAAGTTATTTAAGTTTGAAATTATTAATTTTTTAAGCAATAAGAACTTTTCTTGTATTTGTGATACCAAACAAATAAAAACGATGTTGCACAGTAAATGTTCTCTTGTTTATAATGTGAAAATTTGATTGCTTAGCTTTGGCTACAGCTTGAGTTGTTCTATTTCGCTCAAAACAGTTTTTGATATGTTGTAGGACAACACATGCGGGTGTTGCGTCCTCTTGAAATCGATTTTTATTACTTCATGCTAGTTGCTAGTAGGTACTCTTTCCATAATAATAATTGAATATAAATAGTGCAATACTTTTAAACACGATTTCATAAAATAAAATTATTCAGAGTTTTAAAATAATAATATTATGTATATTACTTTAATTAATTTTTAACACTTTTATACTTACGAGTACATAATATCATTAAAAAAATGTTATTTTGAATTTTTTTAATAAACTTTTCTATACATATATTTAGATTATGTTTTATTTAACTAAAAAAATTCATTTTGCATATTTTTATCACATTTATTATATGAATCTGCATGTTTTATAGATATAATAGATATTTATTGCATTTAAACCCAGGCCCTAGTCATAACTTTAGTGTCGTGAAACTCAGCAAGAACTTAGGTGCGACGGTCGCACGTGCATGAACAACAACTATAACACAGGTTATCGTTTTATGATAGTTTTAATATTTACACAACCATCATCGATACATACATTTTTTTTTTACACACATTTACAAAAAGCCCATGAATCATGATGTACTGCTTATTACTGTATTCGTTTGAATTACCCTTAATACAAACGGATACAGCGAACCTATAGCAGTTGCATTATTTTTCTGGCCACCGAATATTCGTATAGTATGGGCTAAAAAATCGGCCCTTAAGTACACCACTAAAAGTTTTTCCGACCGAAAATTGAGATCGAGTTTTATTTGAGATCGTTTAACGTTCTCCAATAAGGGACAGTAATCCAATATTGTTTTAGGCGAGTGTCATGTAGCTTAGAGCGTACGATGGTAAGTCGGCCTTACTACGTATGACGAGCATAGGCTTACTGAGTGTCTCTCGATTTGGCTGATTAAATAATTGTTTGAATAATTGTGCATAAAAGGATTCGCATTTAATTGTAGTTAGGTACTATTCTACATAAACTATCTCTAAAATTAGACCACACTATGAGTGGAAAAGTACGATTTTGAGAATATAATATTTAGAGTAGCGTAAAACGACAACGACATGAAATCTCAAGTATGACTATTGGTTCTCAGATTCCAAATGGTAATAATTTTGGAAGAAACATGACTTGGCAGTAACGATGCTCGCCGGTCGGGACAAGGGGACATGATTCTCAAAAAAGGGGACACTACCGTTTTCAGAGACGAATCCCTCGTTCTCCCTATATTGCAAACTGCAGCAACGGAATCAAATTCGTTTTCAGAATACTTAGACGATATATGCGTTGGAAACAGAACACACGTATCTGAACTGCTCCCCCAGCGACGCGTTTGTAACACTAGTGCAGTGTATGCCGGAAACAGAGACGAGTAGACGACGGCGGCAAATCAACGCTTCCGATCTCCGAGCGAGGACTTCCGACGAGGGTCGTCTAGCGGGGACGGCGACGGCAGCTGTTGCACTCGGCGGCGGAATATTGCAACGGTGCACGCACGCACGCACGCACTGCTTGGCACGTCTTGGCCCAGTTGCAACAGCCGTCGTCGTCGTCGTCGGCGGCGGCAAAACGATATTGTTATTTTACAACGTTTCATTACGCGGTGGTGGTGGTGGTGGTAGTAGCGGCGGCCACCAGTCACTGTACTACTACAACAACAACACGTAGTCTCGTTCCCATTCCACGTAGCGCTACGACTATAGCACTACTATCTCGTCATCGTCATTCAATCGCACGTACTCACGCTCGCGGTATGCACCACGCCGCCACGCACACGCACTGACAGATCGCGATCTTTGCGGGAACCGCGGACGGGCCCTAGATGACCGTCATTCAGTCCGGTTCGGTTACCAGCGGCACACATCGTCCGTAAACGGCGGCGGCGGCACAACCAGCATCAGCTGCAGTAGGCATCGCGTCGTAACAACCGCAGCGACAACAACAACAACAACAATAATATTGTTATCATCGCCGTCGCACGCGTTCCCTCGCCGCTTATCTCTCTCGCGCTCACCGACTGATCCGCGTCGGTCGTCACGACCCGTCGCCGGCAAGTACGTTATTTTCGATCGTCGCTCGTAATCGTATCATAGGTACAATATATAACGACTTGCTGTCGCTGTCACGCGGTCAGTCGTTTCCGCGTCGGCGTCGGTAGCGTTCAAACCGATAACGATAGTATAATATTGTTTTTCTAATTTTTTTTTTCCTTCGGTCATCTCCGTTCATCATACGCAGCCGTCGACGTCCGGATAGTATTCAGTGGTCGTCTTCCTCAGCGCCGGACTTGTTTCACTAGCCGGACGGCCGTCGGGTACGTCGAACCCGGAAATTGCCGCGGCACGACCAGCAATCGCCCAACTACAATAATATTATTATTATTCAACGCGATAATATAATAGGTTGGTGAATTATTGTTACTCTCATTGTTATTACTCTAACTGATATTGTAGTTGATTAGACGTCACTGATCGACTAGCTGATCAGAGGGTGCGGTATTGTTACAATACATATACCAATGCATAGATCCTATGGGCTTCGAATGGAAACGCGTAGTACGCATTTCCGGTTATGTTCTCGCGGAGCAAACACAAATTGAACCTATAAATCGGAAAAATGAACAGGTGTTGGAAAATATACAAGTGCAAATACTTACGACACTTTTCTTGAGAACAGTGGTGCAATTATGGGGGACACGCGAGTGTCTTATAACTGGCACGTTTCACACATTTAGCGTACCAATTAAATATTGCGTAATACAATAATACCATACATAGTATTATAAATTATGGAAATAATTCAAAAAAACCGAATTCCTGTGTTAGGCTGTTAATTAATAATAACAAAGATAATAATAATGTATAATATTATAGAGCCTATAGTTTCCACACAAAAAATATAGATAAAATAATTGGTACATATAATATTATATTATATACTTTTATTTTAATGTTGTAAATAATATTACACATGGGAGGGTATTATTACCTTTATAATTTATATAGATTATATAGTAAGATACATTGCGGTCTGCGACTGTGAAACTAAAATATTACATATTTGTATTCCTCTGTATGGTTGTTGGTTGTTCTGCCTATATAATTTAAATACGTAGGTACCTAATTGTATGTTTAAGTGTATGTACGTAAGTGCATTGTACACATCACACATGCCAGACATGCGTGCCGTGTATAGTTGTATTTGAGAAGTGCTTGTAATACATATAGGTACAAATAATTTTTTGGGTAATATTTATCCACCCTTCCTCCGACAAAAAGATGAAAAAATTACGGCACTGCTCGGCAGTGTTAGCTTTAAAAATGCAATCGACAGGAGACATTTATACTGCCGGTCTGGTGAGTTCGGGAAGACATATTATTTTGCTGCTTTGCCTGGACACGAGACGATTTTTTCTTCATTATTACTAATACTTTTTTGCTGTACCTATACGCGTTTGACTGAATTGGCATGCACAAAAATTACAATCGAACCGTTTTGCTTTTCTAGCCATACATAGCTGATTGTGTTTGCAGTTAGACGTCAATCGGCAACGCTTCGGAGCTTTGAAATTTTCGACCGGTGGTCGGCATCGAGGGTTGGATACATCACCGACATGCAACTGATGGTGCCAGTCTCAAAACTATTCGTCTTAATCGGTGAGTAATCGTGGTCTATTTAAATAACTTGCTATAGTATATAATTAGACATAAATCGTTACACAATTAACAAACAGCAAAAGCAGCAGTAACGATGAATATCAGAGGTGAATAATCAATGTAGTTTGGCGTTGTTTTTTTACGTACTTAAACGTACAGTTTCCACTTTTTATTTATGTAATATTATATACGATAATGTTTTCAATTAAAATATATATATTATGTATATTATTATATACCTAGGTAAATAAATTGTCGTAGGACGTAGGTATATTCACATTACACGTATTATAATATAAGATATGTTGTGGTATGTGTCAAAACCAAAATGTCTTGATTTTCACAATGCGCCTTTATGACAATTGAAATTTAAAAAAATATTATGTACTATCATTCTCTGTGCAACCCGTTAAATATTATTTACTATGGTGTACTGCGTTTTGATTTCATTTTGCACTAGGCTATGAATACTTTGTAGTTTATTGTCCAGCTGCTAAATAGTATTAACATTCGACGTTTAATTCATTATTATTATATTTTTTACAACATATACACTCAATGGATTATTACATAATACATAGACGAGGCAGTTGCCAGTTTAGCAGTACCTAGCGTCAATTATTAGAAGGCTGAAATCTTAACATCTATCTATCTGCTTTTAAAGCGTAGACAATAATAACAATTTAAAATACTCATCATAACTCGTATTAAAATTAAAAGAACGAAAAGACTGCTGATGTAGACCTATTTTTACCTTTTAATTATTTTGATGATACATAATGGTCAATTTACTGTCATATTAAAATCAATAACACAATAATATGGGTTTTGCAACTAAATCCAAATATATAATACGTTTGTAAGACGTATCACGCGGTCTGCTTTGTACATTTTTCCTAACTTTCAACTACAGGGAAAATAAAATAAAAACATCTTGGTAAATCACGAAAGATTTTATTTTTATCTCGAACACGTCCGCAATGGTTTTTTGATGATTCCATGATATTTTTTATTAATTATTTCAATGTTATATGGCATTACAATATTTTAGTCTTCAAGCAGGCGGCGGCGGCGCCAACTACGACGACGTATTTCAGCTGATAGTTGTTGCAACGTCACTTTCTGTGTGATTATTTTCGGCGTAGTTTTTTTTATTGCGAATAATTATAGATTCATTATTGTTTTCTATATCATTCACCGCTTTGCATAATTTTTTTTATAAATAATATATTAAATCATTATTATATTATGACGACTGTCGTCGCGTGATGTATAAAAACATAACATAGGTGATCATTCCAATAAAAAAAAATTATCATTTGATTATTGTTATTGTATAACACACTCCGACACTCGCATGTGTTGTCTCCGTCTTACAAACGTACAACATAGAACATTTGTATAGATATGTATAGTAACTATATTATAGTTGCATTAATTACCTATATAGTATTTGACCTATTATAAACTTAAAACATTATCTGTATTTTCTCGTGGGTATTTTACGATGTATTAATTTTTAAGCAGGTTATGAGTTTTAATTCTAAAATAAAAATATTGTTGGAAAAAACCATGAGCAAACAAAGATAATGTTCTAATCTATAAGTTCGGTAATATAGGTATTTGTCAGTTCATTCTAACCTTAAAGGTAATTACACAACATTAGAACTTACTGCAGCTGAACACGAATTTTGCAATGTTGTATGTATGTAAACGGACACAAGATACATGTGGGTTTTGCGTCCACTTGTGTCTATATATGTTGGTGATGTATCAACGGATTTTGGTACACTCGCAATAAATTTGATTAAATCCTCCCAATTCTTATAATATTGTGCAGTGACGGACTATGAAGAACAATTTGAACTGGAAAAACTGACCAGTCCTCAAATAGGTCTCGTTCTGGATATACTTCAGCTATAAGCAGGAATGCCTCTAATTTATTATTATTTGTATGAACTGCAGCGGCTCGCTGCCTACCAGGAAAATTCCCGATAGTCCACCACTGATATTATATAATAATATCATACACAATACACAGAGCAATTTAATATTTATACTGGGTAGTAACAGTAGTAAGCGTCTCCTGCACTTGAGGCACAACAAATTCCGAATATCGGCGCTAACCGTCGTATAATAGACTACACGTCTACCCAATAGACTACACAATACACTAATGTAACAATTACTGGAAGTTTAGCTAACTTTTTTGAGTATGGATTTTCTACTGCAATATTGTTAACTATATTATCACTTGACGTTTTGCTAGGTACCTATTAATAACTGCATTAAAAAGTTATTTTAAAATCTATTTCTAATACAAACGATATGAGAAAACTTAAAGTTAGTCTTTCTCGGCTAAGTTGATTCAACTGCAAGAAAAACTTTTATTCTGGAAAAAGAGGATGTCTGAACACTATAGTTACACAAATAAAAAATACGTTAGGTATTCATTGGAAAAACACATGTTTAAACCAAAAATATGCTAGACTCATATTTTTTCGATCATTAATTTATATCTATAGACCTATTATATGCATATGAACTAGCAGAACGAAGAACGTAAGTGGTAAACTTTCCTCTGCGAAGTTCTCCTGCAATTTGTAATAGAAAACAGTAAAATATACACAAAGACCTGGAACATGAGATCATAATAATATTATAATTTATAATTGAATGCCGGGAAAAAAAATTTCAAAAAACCTCGCAAATCTCTCACTACGTTTTTTGTCCACCTATATTAGTTAACACTTATGATTTCCACCAACTATTCGTATTTTATAATATTGATATCATCAATTTTCATTTTATTTTCTGAACGTTTTACATTATGCAAATAACGTATAATTCTATACAAATGTATAAAGAGCGTAACTGCAGTGACTATAGTGACATTGTGCACGTTAGGCACACTTAAGTTTCCGGTATCAATTTACGTATAGAGAATGTATATATATTAGACATGTTCAAAATAAAAATAATTATAACAATATAATTAATGCCAGTGGGTCAATAAAATTGTAATCGACAATGAAACGACTGGTGGTAAATAATATAGCTGCTAAACACCAATACACCATAATAAATTCAAATGTATGAAATAACTGTAGGTACCTATATATTATAATAGCTGTGTAGGTAATAGCCAATAGGTAGTATTTGTATCCATCAAAAGTGTAATTAATTTAATAATGGTAATAAAACCGCAACGTAGGTTAGGTTATTAAATGTGAAAAAAAAATATCAATGCTTGTAAATGTAAAAGCCAAAAATGATATGTCATCAATTAATGATATACAATAAATGTGTAAGATGCGATGTCAATGGTGACAATCAGTTTATTATAATAACATTATAATCATTACGATGAGAGTCACGACAGGAATATTAAAATAGAATAATATTAATATGTGAACCTGTTCTCTATACGTATATTTAATATTATACTTTGTATGAATCTTTTCTAAGATATAGTTTCTTTAGAACTTATAATTTACAGAGTAATTATTAGAAACCTATATAATTTCTATTGTGGATGTGCAATCTTATATTCATTTACTGTGCTTTTGCGCTCAACCACGTCCAACCTGATCCTTACTGATTTTCGTAAACAAGTTGTTTTCGCTACTTTGGCAATAACTTTAGGTCTACGCTACTCGGACCGAATCGAATAATTATGACGTAGGTACCTATTGGATTATGTATTTTTCACATCGTAGTTTACAGTATTTTCGTACATACAATTATTATACTTATTGTTAAACAAAACAGTTTTATTCCAATTCAGCCACAATAACAATAGCTAAGATCGTGTTTTGATGAAAGTTCATGTTTGAAAATGTCAAATATTCAATTTTTAAATTTTTGTTCTTGAGTTTTTTTAGATTCCTGGCTACTTTAAAGTATAGATACTGCCATACTGGTATGGATTCAAATTCGAGTAGTACAAAAGGAAACAGCTCCTGTAAAAGTCTCGTGACTAAAAATATATAGTGATTGAGAATCTAGAATATATAGTTGTTCCTTTTCGATTTTCTTCAATAATACTATAATTACGTTACCGTGTGATGTGTTTAATATTTTCATATTTGATGAAATTAATTTATCTAACCATTGACCATGGTTGTAACTTGTATTGCGTTTGAGATCCACTCAGGATAATGCACTACCTGGATCAAGGTGAGAGATGAGTGGCCTGCACAACTTTATTTCTTTACTGTACATCCGGTTTAAAAAAGTCTCAAAAAAAATACTATCTGCGTATCTAATACATATTATATGAGGGCCAAAGATAAACTAAGATATACATTTTTGTATTTCTTTTCATACTCTATAACACGTAATTAGTATTGAAATTTGTAGTGTCGAGAGAAAAATAGATTTAAAAATTGAAACCTGACTTGTTTTTAAACACCTTTACATATATTCCTGTTTATATTATATAAAAAAAATTATTATTTTAAATCGGTTTGAAAAGAACAATTATTTAAACATGAAATTATTAATTGTTGAATGAAAAATAAGCAGTTTCAATAAAGTAAAAAAAAAATATTACTCGACTTAAGATTTATTTTCAAAATGCAATACAAACATTATAATAGGTAGGTATGTAAAATGATTGACAATTTTTACTTTACATAAGTATTAAGGGTTTAAATCACTGTTATCAAGTAGAGATTCTTTAAGTAGTTGGTTAATAGTTAATACATATTGTAATAAATTAGAATTAATATTTTATCATGATTAATAAGTTACTGAGTAGTGTCTGCGGTAAATTTACAGTTAATAAACAATATCGGTTTAATTTATTCACAACATCTGTTTGGTTAAAATGATTTGTTTTCCGCATTAATATCAGGTGACATAGTATTTTCCTAATAATATTGCAGACATAATTAATTTTTTCAACTGAACTTATGTGTGAGTATGTGGTCAGTTATAAGTTAGCTCTAAGTTAACTTATAAGAAGTTATAACCAAAATTACATATTTAAATCTAAA